GAAATGACGGCTTTAGGGTGGGGATCCTCGAAGTAAATAACTATTTTGTTCCGGGCTTCGTAACAGAGAACATGGGGTTTGAGATTCAGTGTAGGTTGAGGACTGGTTGAACCCTACAGACCCTATATGCTGCAGCAACTTGAGCAGGTGGGCCGACTTCTGCAGCTCTGCGCCGAAATCAATGGTGCACCGCCTTTGTGTACTACGCACGACAACCACGCCACACAGCAGATCTTCACAGAAGCCTTTCTAGGTTTGCGGCCCCTCAGCAGCCTGGCCGGCGTGCCGCTACCCAGCTGCCATAGCACATGCCCATCCTTACACACCTCCACCACCCTAAACCCTACACAGTTCCCAAGAACGTCCCAAACCCTGGACCCTCCATCCGCATCTGAAGGTTCTTCTCCGACTGTGACCTTTGCCCACGACTGAAAGCGCCGCAGTACGAGTGCTCATCGCTATGTTGGAAAACCAAAGATGTCCTCTTCAATCTCAACGATCCAGCTCACACGGTCAAGAACATCGTTTGCTCGACAAGGTCCCGTACACGTACAATGGTTGTTCTTGGCCTACGCATGAGCAGAAGCCCGCTGCTGATGGGTGGCTGTCCACTGAACACCTACGTGGGAAAGGACAAGATGAGCGACCAAGAGGCCGCGTGGGCCCTCAACCCCGGAGTTGTGCCGCTGAAGCAATGGGATTCTGTGCCGCTCACAATCTGGCAGCACCCCGTCCGCAAGCAGCACTACTGCGGTGCTAGTTCACATACTGTTCCCTTGCAGTACCTTGCTAGTATACATCCCAGGGGTTTCTGCACTGTTTGGACTTTGATTTAACCAGCCCAGAAGCTCAAGCCCGAACCCTAAACCCTAAACGCTTCCAAAACCCTACACCCCCCAAAAAAAAATCCCAACCAACCCAGGTTCGAGACCTTGGGGCCATGATGGGTCCGCAGATAGCGCTTGAGAACAGCTTCACAGGCTACTACACACTACTTCTGGAGTGCATGTGCTCCCGGACAGCAGTCCCAGGACGTTGGGAGAGCCTCACCTATGCTCGGCAGACTGCGCGGAATGCGCTGCTCATGGCATGCAACTTCATAGAGAGAGTGGCTCGGTTCCCTGATGGCGTTCCCTGGGAGCCACAGTGCACAACAGAAGCAACATGCGAGCATTTCTTCGGAAGGATGAAGAGTGCAGTAGGTACTCAAGCTCCCAGCCTGAAAGCTTGCCTGTTTGCTGTTCAGCGGATGCATTTTCTGGAAAAGCAGAAGGGCCTGCCAGCGGAGTCCCAACGAACATGGTCCGGCAGCTCTCTATCTGCAAACATGGTGGTCGGCATCGCCAAGCAAGCACGAATTGCAGCATGCACGCTGTTCGCTGTCTTGTCTGTGAACGACACCCCGCAGCGTGTGTCGGATTCCCTTAAAAAATGGTGGGAGGAGGATGGGCGCTCCTTGCTGCTCTCCTCTACCGCCGGATGTCCGGAGGCCGACTCGGAAACCGAGGACGAACAGCCAGTGGCAGACGAGCACGCAACAGAAGGCGAGCGTGTGCAGCAAGGCCTGCGCATCCTAGAACGGGAAGCTACGTTGCGGCAGCGCTTGGAAGAGACACAGTCAGGCGTGACCGCTGGACTTGCGTTGTCGCAGGAGGGCCCGGAAGCTGAGCAGCAGCCTGAAGCGGAGCCAGCAGCGGAGTCGCGAAAGGCTGCTCCTCGCACGCTGTGGCAGATTCTGTACGCTTGCAGCTCGACTGTGTGTGCAGCATCCTCCTAATCCCTAAATCTAAATCTGCCCGCAGTTTAGGGTTCTTTAGGGTTTAGGGTCGAGGGTTTAGAGGGATGGGGTCTGTACCTTATAGGGAACACGGGGTCGACACCGAGACAACTCCCCAACCTCAAGCCTCAAACTCCTATTCCAGTCCTACACCCTCAACTCTCCCTCAACCTTGCAAGAGGCGAGTTCCAGGACTATCAGCCGGCAGAGGGCGACAATCCAATCAAGGCAGTTGCTCGTGCACAGCGGCTGCAACCACTCATGGCAGATATCGTAGCGGAGGCCCGCATTGCAGAGAAGTTCCTCTCCGAGGCGCAGGTGCGTGGAAAGGGCGGTCGTACTACCCAGCGGCCCCATCAGGAACGTGAGGCACAGCTTGCCGCAGCTAGACGTGAGTGGCAGCTTGTGGGGAACAGGCAGTCGCGTCTGGAGGCTTGGTGTCAGTACTCCAAGTTGGTGGCAGAGAACGTGGAGGAGCTCAGTGGCTGCAAAACAGCACCGCTGGACGAAGTCCGACCCAGCTTTGCAACAGGCCCTGCTAAACTACCTGGTTTCACGTTGATGGCGTCGGGTGTAGGGTTCTGTGGTTTCGGGTGTAGAGTTGAGGGACTGCTGAGGGCTTAGGGTCTAGAGACTGCTTAGAAATTAGGGTTTGGGCTCTAAGGCTTAGGGTGTCGGCTGTTTAGTGTCTAGTGTTTGAAGCTTATACATTTTCACGCTGCAGGGTTTATCGAGGGCATGTGGCCATTTCAAAGTCAAGGTGCTGACGGGAAGCGCAACTACCAGTTCCTTGCTCTGCGAGAACATGCCTGTGGTCCAGTGCTGCTGGCGCTTGTGGAAGAAGTCTTCCGAGTCAGAGCAAGAAAAAAACAGACGACGAAGACTGCCACAGCGGCGTTTCCAGGCCCGATCCCGTCGGATTCCTGTGGTGGCTTGCAGGTGCGACTTTTCGATTATCAACAGAAGCGGCGCTTCATCACGACAGCTTTGCACAAGAGACTATCCATCGAGCCACACTCTGTTGCGAAAGATTCACCGCAGATCCTCTACCAGATCTCACCGAGTGATATCGAGATCCAAGAGCATTGCACACACCTGGAGGTGAAGTTAACCCAGCAGGGCGTGGAGGCTCTGAGGGCGGCTGTGGGGTTGGATATGAAGGTTGACGTCGCGGTCGCGGGCATTGCTAAGAGTGCACCCAACAATGTCTACGGCTACACGTCCTTCACCAACAACGCCCAGGGACACAAGGTCATGAAAGACTACATGATGGAGATGGCCGCTATGTACCAGAAGGTCGCTGGAAGCCAGCTATGGGATGCAGATGGGATGGTCAAGCTGCGAAGCGCAACTGCTGCTGGTGCACAGAAGTTTCTGGTCTTTTGTTAGTCTCACAACCTAAGCCCACTCTAAGCCCGTTCCCTAAACCCTAGACCCTAAACCTAAACCCTAACAACCCTACTACAGCCCTGTCTTGAGAAGTACGCCAACCCCCAGGGTCCTGTGGCTGGAGTTGGTGGAGAGATGCCCGGGGTACTTCCACACAAAGTTCACCACGAAAGATCTGAGCGGCAAGCAACCTGTGGCAGCGAAGGACTTCGCTCGATCAGTTTTTCAGGAATACCTTGAGTGCGCACCCAGCGTGACTCGTGGTGTCGGGCCTTTTCTGGCTTTTCTTCGGCGTGTCGATGACATGTCGCCGAAGCTGCTTCCAACAGCGTGAGAATGCTGTGCGGCGGCTTCCTGTGTGTCGTAGGGGACACTAGGGGGGATGTGCTTGAGAGTGTGCTGACGACATCACTGGAGGTAAGCCTCAAAGATATTTTAAAGAATCCTAGTAGGGCAGTAGATTGTCAGTAGCTGGAGCCGCAGCACACCTCAGCACCTGAAGTTCCAGACAAAGCACCTAGGAGCAGCAGCGCGCTGCAACAGCTTGCCAGGAAAAATACCACTGTTTCGTAGCTGCGCTGTTGCTGCTGTGAGCCTTTTGTGGACTCCCTGAGCATGATGTATGATTCACCCAAACATATTGCACATAGCGCGAAGTACGATGAAATCGATGAAATCCAAAAAAGCATGAAAAATCTCCAGCGTCCACAAGGCCCCTTGGATTCATTAGCTTTTCCGGTAAGGGTTGACAGGGACGAGAATGTATCTTTAAGGGGGGGCCCCCAAATTCAACGTTAGTGGGGGTGCTGACAACACTTAAAGACAGTAGGGAA